ATAACAGCTACAACCTGCCCGGTGGACTCAAACATCCTGAAGCGCATTTGAGAGGAATCCTCATCTCATATATATAATGTATTATATTCGGCTTGATGTTGTCCGCGCTGATGTTGTCTTTGAAAGGACTAACATTTTTCCACTCCCCAAAAATGATCAACATTCATGACATGGTTATCTTGTAGTGTCACTGGCTACAATTCACAATCCTTTTGTACTGGAGACATTGAGACAACTGTGCTCCTGTATTACCAATCATCATCATCATCATTGCCTTTCTCACCCTGGATCAGGACATAGGCCACGAACAAACACTCTCCACCTTTCCCTATCCTGAGCTAGTCGCTTGATGTCACTCCACGTCTTCCCACTTTTCTGTACATCCATTTCTGTGACTCTTCTCCAGGTTCCTTGTGGTCTCGTATTACAAATAATGTGCAAAAAAACCCAAACAATTAACTCCATATTTTTCAGTTTTATTCTACTTCTTTCGATGCAATTAAGAGAAAGACATGCAGAGATACAAGCCTTCATCACAAACTCTCTCTATGTACACGTTACATGTAAAAACAGACATACATTTGCACAAACTTATAGACAAATACAATGTCACAGAGCCACAGCCTATGGCAAGTGACCAGGATGATGAACCTGGCAAGAGATTAGAACAACAGGAAAGAAACACAGACTACAATTGCAAGCAGCAAAAAAACACCAAAGCAGCCGTCACCCACCCACCCACTGATATTTACAAAAAATTGATTGAATTCAAAGACTGGCCTGACATTCAGTTTAGCCAAGGGAGCGACACACATGAGTACTCAAAGGTAAACCAAACAGAATCAAGGCCACAAACGAAATGTTAGGAATTACGACAACTGCAATCGTTTCTTACCTATCAATATCATTACTGTAAAAAAAAAATCTCCCAAACAATAAGAATGTTCTGCAGCTAAAATGTACTGTAACAAATTTTTTATACAAACTTAGACAACGAAGACTGTTTTTTCGTTTGTTTTAAGTTTACCAGAGCTTCATAAAATTCTTTACTTGAAATATAATGTAGAGACAAAATCAAGAGAAAACAAACAATGACCCAGCGGCAAAATCAGTACTCATTCACATCCACAAATTATTTAGAGATACACAAAGAAGGCAACTCTCCACATCTATCTCATGTATTCACGGACCTGTCACAACATCTTAATGTCAACGGTTTTATTAATATTCTTTTCCTGGAATATCTTTGCCCAGAGGCTCTATGTATGGTCTCTTCTGCCGTTTCCTCTCTGCCTCCATTATGTCAGTGCGCTGAGTCTGAAAGAAATCCACAAGAAAAAATTACTAAAACTATGCTCTCAACAAATCTACTACTACTACTACTACAGCTAAAAACTATTATAATTATATGTGGACCCAGTCAACACACATTATACTGGGCAATGGACAGTTTTCATCTATTCCCATTTATGCACGAAAGCATAACAATATTTCTTTCCTCCCAGCCATATCTTAGAAGTTACAGGCAGTCCACTAAAGGTTCTCGACTCTAGCAAAGAGTGCACCATATGTTAGCAAGTAAAAATGGCTATACAGTGGAACTCGGATTCAACGAGGTCGTCGGGCCTGACCTAAAATCTTGTTGAATCCGAGTGTTCGTTATAGCAAACATGAGGTTTTGTGTAGATAATTACAGGCACTGAGCAAGTAAGGTATAAAGAGAAGTCACAAGTAGTGCCTGAAATGCCTGCATATTTAAATTATGAGCTGTGCAATAAAAAGACCGATTCGTTCAAATGCACATGCCTGTGTCATCTCGATTGTTTACCAAAACGTTGTGTTGCTGTGTAGAGCCAAGCATACAGCAACTTTTGATTCCATAGAGCAGCGCACAATTCATTACGTAGATCTACGTTAAGACTAGCTTTTATCATTGTAATAAAAATCAGTTGCTGAGGGGAAAAGAAAGACTGTGACGCGTTTGTATCTGCGAGGTTCAACACCCGGACCGCTAGTGCCCCCCTCCCCGCTCCCCGACATGCACACACAGCCACATGTGTGCAGGCCGCCCATTCGACCCCGACACACTCCAGAGTATACACGTGCGTGTGCCAACCACGCATGTGTTGGTATGAAAAAAGGCCGCTGATTGGTCGCATGCAATCGGCTAAGTGACTCATGGTTCACAATGCAGGAACAATTGATGGTTTCCGGGAATAGATAAAGTTCGTTCTGGGAGAAAAATGAGCGAAGCCACGTCTACGGGGACTGTTCACCCTGAAAGCGACCTTGTTGAATCCGAGCTCGCTGATTTAAGTGCTCGTTGAATCCGGGTTATTTTTATTGATTTTAAAGAAGAAAAAAAACCCGGGGAATCTGTCTCATCTCGTTGAATCCGAGTTCTCGTTGAATCCGAGCTCGTTGAATCCCAGTTCCACTGTACTTTAAAACTGGAACCTAGTGCCTGTTACCTTTCCAGCAGCTATGAAACAAATTTTCAGGGTTCTCTTAATTCCATTCTGACTGTTTCCTCAGTCTTAGGATAATTAAGAATTTTGCACTGGGGAGACATGCTCTTCTTCTACTTTTGAATGCCCGTAAAAAAACTGTTGAGGTGTCTTTTAAAAACCTTTCTAGGACATTGTTGTGATACAAACCACCTTACATCTCTCCCTAGGAAGATGAGAATGGTACAAATTACAGATTCAATCACACAAAATATTGCTGTTGAAAGAAAATGAGTTGCTCCAAAGCCTTTCAATCACCTTGTAAAGTAGGATAAAATGGAATTAAGTTACTCATCACAGCAGTGATGACATAATAATTAATTTCCGATGTACTTTTAGGGGGAAACGAATGTTCCTTTGAAATTAGCAAGCTGGTTAGTTGGCTGAGAAGAAAAAGGGGTACTCCCTTCACAAACTGAATTTTATTTAGCAAAAAGTACCGGTGGTAACCTCTTCTTTCCTACTGCCATTCTACATCATAGACTGAGAGCATAATATCCCCCCCTCCACCCCCTCGGACCACTGCCTAAACAACACACACCACCCCAGAAGAAGTCACTGACATTCAGTTTCAATGGGCGAGTGTTCAGAACAAACACATAGGACCTCAAAGTTTTTCTGCCTCTTCCAGACAACAATGCACTCAGTCCACAATCTATTTTGAGGTCAAGGGCATGAAAACCCAACGCAAAAGCCTACGTTTATCAACATATTCCCCAACCATTTAGTTTTAGTAAGAGTTTTACGGCACTTGCAACACAATAAGGTCATACAAGTGCCGAAGATTAGAGGTGTTACAAAAGAGCAACAAACACGAAAAAGAAGGAGGGGAGATCAGGACAATAGATGTTTGATAGGAAAGAAGGAGCAAACCAGTGCAACCCACATCCCTTAACCATTTCGGCATTTTAAAGCAAATTTTAGGTACTTTGGCAGGAGAGCCAGGCCGTACTACTAAACCAATGGGTTATTGAATATATGAGGAACAAGACTCTCTTATCTTCTACATAAGCAGAAGCATTACCTGTTTGGAGCGCCAGAGACATTCATGAAAATCCTCAATCTCCTTCAGGCATTCAAACTTTGCTTTGTTCATGCCCACTCGACTGGCACATCGGACGAAATCCATTTCAAATTCTCCACATGTGGAACCTTGTCTTGTGCCCCATCCAGCCTGCAGCTTCGTGAATGGGGTGTAGATTATTGGTAGGGTGGGCATGACTGGTGAAAAAAGACTGGAAAAAAAAATTAAATTATCATAAAAATTTAATCAGGACTCCAACTCCAATTGTAGCCTGACAAATAAGAACTGGACTTTTTAACTTGAACAAAATCCCACTATTTGTGTGAAGACCTCTTCTACCTCTGGACAAAAACAAAACTTAATATAACCACAAAAATAATATTCCTGCCAGCAAATAAACTTGACAAACACATTCCTAACTACACATACATGTAGACTACCAATTTCTATGACAAGAAAGTATACACACGAACTATATAAACAGATAAACACAAACAGACACAAGACACACACCAATGGTAACACATAGTCAGATGGATAGACAAATACATAAACACTGACAGACAAAACATATTTAAATATACACACACAAAAAGACAGACACAAGACATCCTCATGCAACCCCAAACCTCCCTTTTCGCCATCCCTTTGAAAAAACAACAACCCCCAAATACAACTTAAAACCACCATTATAGACTTTATTATGGGCCTTACAGTATTCCTAAGCCTGCGAATACCATCAGTTCAGAGTGTAAGAAAAGGTACTGGTTTGTTTTCTCTCTTTTTTTTTTTGGGTACGTGTTTTACAGCGCTCGCAACTGCATATATATATAAGGTCATATGAGCGTGCGGGACACATTTAACATTTTGTAATTGGCATGAAATTTTGAATTTAGCTCGGGTGGCTGCCGAAGCCTCCTCTTATCGATTTACGACCACCAAGGGATCTTGTCGGAGAAGGCTATGTGTAGATCTTTCCTATCAGTAGATCTGAGGTGTGGCTGAAAGACAGCAGTAAGAAGGAGCCAAAGAGAAGCAGTAGAAAGGCTGCAGAAAGACTCAGGAGATGATGCGATCGAGAAGAAGACTCAGTAGCCCAAAGAAGGGGGCAAAGGAGGTGAGGGGGTGGGGGCAAAAAAGTGGAGACGAAAGCAGACGACAGAACATTGCCAGAGAGTAGGAAAAGAGGGGAAAGGACTATAAGGAGATAATTTTAGAGAAGAAAATTTTCCCCGTCGCTACCTGGATTCGAACCCAGAACCTTTGAATGAGAGGCGAACACCTTAACCTCTAGGCCATGAGAGCCCCCTTGTTTTCTTCATTTTCTTACAAGTATATTGTCCTGTCCAAGATGTCCACCTGTTTAAGTCAACCACTTTTCTCCTCGACAGAGACAAAGGATGGATGTCTTGGACAATTTCAACTGAGTCACGTACAGCCAAACCCTAATATATTATAATCATACCACATGTATTTGCCCCTTTAAACGATCATCTGCCTAATTTGTAAGGTCTTCACTAACCTGATGTAAAACTCCCCCCCCCCCCCCCCCCGTCCCTCAAAAATGCCACATAAATACACTGGGGGCCACACGGGGCCACTACATAGAACAAATGCATCCGCTCCTGCAGCAGCAATTACCATTTCTCCCACATATTATATAGCTCTGTCAAAGCGAAGTAGAGATCGTCACACAATGCAGGAATCCTAAACACTAAAATCCGAATTTTTGGACTAAAGAAGAATAACTCATTGTAATAATTGCTCTTCTTCTAGTCACAGCAGTATTATTTCCCTTGGACATAGGACAGTCTATGCTATCTAACTGAGGACATGATCAAAAGCCCAATTTTCTGTCAGCTTCACGCTAGTCCCAAAGTTGATGGTATAACTACCAGGGTCTGCAGCATGCTCTGTGTGCTTTACAACTATTTTCACTATTCCTAATCAAATAGTGACCCCAGTTGGAAAAAGGAAGCCACATTGATCATTCAATCATTTATTCCCATAATAAATACAAGTCTGACCATCCTATGAGGAGACAATGTGATTATGTGGAGTCAGACCAAGGTGTTTTTATTTTTAAGATTAATTTGCGTCAGCACTAAAGTGCATCTGGCTTTCCCTTCTCCCCAGCACAGATGATAAGACAAATGTGTCACAACATGGTGGAATCAGGCGCTCTTCAATTTTTGAACATAGAGTTATTGGTAGCATCTTAAAGCCTGTCCATTTGCCTTGCTTTCGAGGAAAAAAATATCCATTTATCTTGGATACATGTCAAGATATTGGTGACTGAAGGAGGTGGGGGTCGCCTGGTTTCAGAGGTGAAATTAGCAAGAAAATGGCCGTCGTTTTGTCATTTCCTAAGCTTGAGAGTCCGTGGAAACCTAAAATTTACATCTTTTATGCCTTTAACGTTTTTCGGTAAAATCCACACAGAAATGTGTTCTTTAACGGGCATGAAAAGTGTTGAGCCGAAAAACCAAAAATCGATAAAAATTCCCAAACCAGCGGAAAAATGCCAGTTTCTTCACCTTCATTATTTTGACGAGCACCTGATATCACCACGCTGCTTCACAAATTATAAAATGTGTTAACAATCAACACAGGCCTACTGTGGGTCATGTAGCTGCAATTTGCCACGTAAGTTTGCACCTCTGTCCAAATGCCTGCTACAAAATAACATTTTTACAGTACAAGAGATCAGATGCAGGCATTACAATCAGAAATCCTGTAATAACCAAGACTGTTATAGTGGGGCCTTCTGACTGTATAGTATCCCCAATTATTATTATTATCATCATAATTTCAGACAAAAGAAGCGTTTGAGCAGATTTGGCAGATACATGGTTAGAGAGAGACACAGATGATATAAGTGTGTTGTTTTTTAAAATAGTTTTAGTAGAGGTTTTAACTCATTCGCAACGTATTATTTTCGGCTTGTGGACGATTTTTTTTTCGGGAGAGCGAAAGAGATGATGACTAGTGGGCAGTTAAAAGGTTTTGGGGCCACAAATTCAAATAAATATCAACGTATTATATACCAACATTTTCAGTATGGTTTGTAGAATAGATCTGTAATGAGCGCCAGAAGATTAAAGGTGTTACAAGAGAGAAACAAGCATAAAATAGAAGGAGGGGAGATAAGGACGATAGAAGTTTGATAGGAAAGAAGGAGCAAACCACACCAGAACACCCGCCAACCACCCACTATAAATGTGTGTGCATGTGTGTGTGTGTGTGCGCGCGCGCCAGTGTGCGTATGTGCAATCATGTCTGTGAGTATTATTGTATTTCTGAGGTGCAAGAGTGGCTTCAGGTTTCTGAGTGAATTTTCACGATGCGACGTCATCACAGTGAATTGATAGCAATTGAAACTACGAAACTACGCAATATAACTAGTTAGTTGCAACACGTGAAAGCAAAATGCAAAGAGAAAGAAAAACCAGCATGAAGGGGTCAGCTTTCGCAGGTATAACTAATCGCTTTGACTACACAAGAGGAGCAAGTGATTGAAACAATTGAAAAAAATACTAGACTAAACAACTGACCGATTTGCCAGAGCTGAGGAAGGAGCTTGCTTAAAAAAATAGGCTGTGTAGGTGCACAGCTAATTCAACACCTTTCAGCTGTGTCAGGATTGTTTGGCCAGCATACATACTATTCAATGGAAGGCAAAGAAAGAGATGGACCGACAACATTGCATAGTGGACAGAGAAATCCTTTGCCCAAACTCAAAAACCCCGGGTTACAGTGGAGGCACCTGCTGAGGCTCTCTATCATACAGTGCCCCTACGATCCTCGAGGATTATATGATCAGTAGATCTAAGCAGTAAGTGATACTATTCAAACCAACTCATATACTTTCAAACGTGAACACTGAAATGGTTTGACTTGAGTGTTAGAGATCCTAAGTAATCTACCCTTTTATTTTTGGGAGGAACCAATTATAATGCAATTAAATGAAGGTTGACAGTGCGATTTATAACAAGTGAAGGGAAGGTGTGATAGTGTTCACTTCTGCCCCCCCCCCCCCCATCCCCAAACACACACACACACCCAAATGTGTTCCATTGATCTTCGCAACATTGTTCATGCTTGTGGGTATCTGGGAGTGGTTTTCAATCGCTGTCTATCCTTCCTTCAAAGATCACATAGACGGTGTTGTGGAAAGGGCAAAGAAGGGCTTGAATGCAGTAAAGGTCATGGCGGCTTCAGGAATGGAACAAAGGTTACCGCTTCTTATGTATCAGCAGCTGGTCTTAGCAGTAATCGATTATGCGCTTCACAAAAACCAACTGGACAAGTTGGATCGAGTTCAAAATAAAGCCACGCGCATCATACTAAGGCTGAACCAGGGACGCCAATTATCTGTATGAGACATGTATTGGGGCTCATGTCAGTGGAAAACAGGTCAGACACAAAGTGGCTCAGGTCAGGGCGTACATGAGGGTGGCGGCCGAAAAGCAACACCCACTTCACGAAGCCATTGAGGAGCAATCAAGGGAAATCGCCTAAGACGAGGAGCTTCTTGGATGGCTGAAGCTAAAAACACCATCAAGGAAGTCTGCCCACTGGAAGATATAAAGCGGGGCGAAGAATGGATAAGATGAATGAGAGACAAGCAGGAAGATTTTCGGAAAGGAAGTGATTACGCTGAACAGAGAATGTAGAGAGTGACCGCAGGGGGCGACAGATGCTGAGATACGACAACTGATTGAAAAAAACTCATGGCACTGTGATGTTGTTGTATACACGGATGGATCTGTTAAATAAAAACGAGGGGAAAAATCTGGATGGGGCTTCTCAGCAAGAGTGAGTGGCAGATTGGTGCAGGAACAGAAGAGAGCATACGATATGACATCATCTAGCATGAAAATGGAGATAGAGGCAATCACTCAGGCTCTCAAATGGGTCACAACAACTCGACAAGCACATATGTGATCTTTGTCACAGACTCTCACAGAACTCTGAGGAAGATTGAGAGTGGGAACCTTAGAGCTGAAAGGATGAAAAAGACCACATGGATCTTCACCCCGGGCCATACTGGAGTCAAGGGCAATGAGCGGCCTGATGAGCTCGCTGGGAAAGCAAGACCTGAAGGGAAGCTGTGCCCTGACAAACCTGAAACTGTACGTTCAGTCAGGGAAAAACGAGAAAAAGAACAAAAAGAGTCAGAATACCATCATCTTGAGCGACTTCGTGAGCTTGGAATTGGATGGGGAGCCTGTAGAAATTCAAGACTTAGTGGGAGGAGCAGAAGGCTGTGGAATCAACCATTGCTTGGAACCGTCAGCATCTACACACTTCGAGATGTGCTTCTTCAGGGGATGGAGCAGTTATGGGGATGCCCCTTGTGCAGTGATGCCGGTCCTTCACAAAAGTAAACAAGTAGATCTAGATCTACCAAATATTGATCGGAATAAGACGTCATAAAAAAAGAGTCAAATCCTAGGAGGTTTATAATCAAGAAACAGAGAAAGCTTCCACAATACAGGCAAAACTACGTAGAAACGATGGCTACTAGACTCTAGATCTAGATTTAGATTCTAGAGTCTAATGCTGGCGTTTCAAATAGCATGGGAGCTATTCAGAACGCAGTGTTTCAAATAGCACGGGAGCTAGATCTAGATCTAGATCTATTCAGAATGTGGCATTGCAAATAGCGCCTGCCTATAATTATACTAAGGCTACACTACTATAATTCTTTGTCTCTTACTCATGGTTTGGATAAACTAGGCCTAAAGTAAGTAAATAAGGTAAAACTGAAGCCCCCCTGAAGAAACCCCCCTCTACTCTTGGATCTAAAACCAGTGAATAACAACAATTGCGGCTGCGGGGTGGGAACAACCGAAAAAGCGCCAACTGAAGATTAGCAGACCACCTGCCGGGAATACTTTTTGGCACCAATTCCAGATCTACATCTAGATCTAGATCTAAATCTAGATTCTAGATCTAGATTTAGATCTAGATCTAGAGTAGGCCCGCATCACCGCGCTACTGTTTTGGTGCGCAACCCCCGGTCTCCTGCTTTGTTTTGGATAAGAACAGCGAAAACGAGGTCATTTTCTGTGAGCATGCGCAGAATGCAGCTTATTTCACTTTCGTTTTGGAGGTTCCTGTCAACACACGTGATTCTACGGTGTCGGAAAGTTTTGCCCCTTCATATTAATGGTTTTCGTAACCGGTATCGATCAATTTACTAAGAGCTTGAGTAGTCGATTATTTAGCACATATCTAGCTAATCTAGCTCTAATGTATCGTAGAATGTATACTAGAATCGATAAATACTATCGCAGGCTGCTTCTTAATGCCCAGGAACGTGTTAGATAGGGTTGCGCACTGAAGAGGACCAAATTTGGGCAGTCCGTTTCGTGCGCAATATCGGCTTTTTTGCTATTTGGCATTGATAGTGTGGCTTCTAGGCCCTTTGTTTGTTTTACTTATTAAGTTATTTCTCTATGACCTGCATTGTGCACTGAAACAGACTGTTTTCCTTCCATTTGGATGCATTATATTGCCATTGGAAGATGATAAGTTAATGTATTCATGTCAAAATTAATTAATATGGAAATATAATCTCCAAAATGTTCAATTTCTTCTTTTCATGTCTTTTTCTTCTTCTTTTTTGCCCTTTTCCTTAAAGAATACTAGTCTAGGTATAGTCTAATTCTTGTTTTCTTCTTTCACTTCCTTGTGTCCACAGCACCTTTCTTTTTCAATTTCTTCTTTTCACGTCTTTTTCTTCTTCTTTTTTGTCCTTTTCCTTCTAAAATACTAGTCTAGGTATAGTCTTATTCTTGTTTTCTTCTTTCCCCTTCTTGTGTCCACAGCACCTTTCTTTTTATCCATTATCAAAACACATACACAAGGTGTAAGGAAATCTCCTGTCAGGGGGCGCACAGCTCCCAAAAAAACACGCCTAAGGCTAATTGACCTTGGCCTTCCATTATGGTCAGTACAGGAACTTCTTGCAAGGAAAAGAAGACAAAGCAAGGATAGAGAAAGATGAAAAGTGTCAGAAAAGAGCTAGATCTAGATCTAGAGCTGTAAACATGGTACTATTGCGCACCAAACAAGACGATATGTTGCACCAAACCAGAAACCTTGCGCACCAAACCAGACACACGTTACCAAACAAACACCACCACAACATATAGAAATTTTAAACTGCTGTTACAGTAATGCGCTACACCGTATAGAGAGGAAGTTTTTCTAACTTCTGGTGAAAAAATCATGAAGATCGACCTGTAACTTCCAGAGATATCCACAAAAGATCGCTTACTGTATATCGCACCACAGGATGTACTCTAGAGATCTACAGTAAGATCTCTATTATTTTTGTGTTTTACTTTAGCTTTAGGCTTTAGTCCTGGTGCACTGGTGGGGAGGGGGGGGGTGTGCAGGTGCAACCCCCCCCCCCCCCCACCCCTTTCTACTGGAGTAGATCTAGTGGTGGTCTGCTAATGTTCAAAGAGGCCGCAAATAAACTTACAGCAAATTAGTCTCTTTCACAGTAGCCTTTGAATAACGAGGATATGGAATTTAGAGAGGTGCAGTGTTCGAGATTGCGAAGGTCAATGTTTTGTTGAGATTCAGTCAGGATAGCTACAGTTCACTTCCGTCTTTTGAGAGGTAGGCCTAGGAGTGATGTCCCTTAGTATCGACGTATCTGTGGCTGTTCAGTGAAATATTTCCAAGATTTTATAAGTCAAAGTCTTATTGAAAAATATGAGAAAATAAAAGTATATTAACAATATTCTCTCTTTTAATATTTTTTATTCCCAACGTTGACTGCTTCATTACTTTTTTTTCAATTGTAAAAAAAGTTTATTGGTTTGTCATCACACGCCGATCCCTATTGGTTCCGTGTGTGTTGTGTGTATTGTGTTGATGATGAATGAACTGAATATTTGTCTTCACTAAAATCACTTGTTGTAGAAGAGCCCACTGGTGAAAAAAAAAGTTTTCCAAACTTTTATACCCCTCAACTTTAGCGCTTCTTTGGCAAGTGAGTAGCCTTCTTACTTTTTTAGTTGTTCAACATTGCCGTAAAATCTACTGTCAACTGAAGTTTGCTCTGCAGTTCACAAATTTATTATGATCTGATGAATGATGGGATGGTCGGTTGTCTTTTTCTCTCCATCTTCGTCTCATCCCCTTATCAGCACCGTCATCAGTTCGTCATAATTATAGCCATACTCACGACTCTGGTGAGGGAAACCAGACCTGTCAGAAAGTGTAACAATAAGCTTGTAACATCATTAATGTTTCACAAAGTAGATTCTAATTCTTACTTCTACTAGACTATATGATGAGACTACTCTATGTTTTTCATGTAGAGTGGATCTCTACTCTAGAGGCCTGTCTACTGTATTTCAAGTATTTGTCTTGACTGACTGTAGATCTATGCCTAGGGTCAAAATTTCAGAATTGGCATTACATCTAGATCTAGATCTAGATCTAGATTATTGCTAGATCTAGATCTAGATCTGTTGCAGATTCTGTGACGTTGCAAGCAAATTTTTATCGAAGTACGGCTAGACTGAGAGTCTAACCGTACTTAAGTACGGCTAGACTGCCAGTCTAGCCGTACTTAGATCTAGGTTTGGCCCTATCGACTCAAGCCTGTTTAGTACACAGGTCTCAATAGATCTAGATCTAGTAATTATTCAGGTTCAAATACATGCAAGTCAGTAAGGCACCTTTTGGACTATTTGGTTTTGTCTGAAATACAAATACTTTAGGCATTGCAAACTAAAAATTTCATTTACAATTCATCCATCTATATTAAGTACGGCTAGCCTGACAGTCTAGCCGTCCTTAAGTACGGCTAGCCTGGCTGTCTACCCGTACTTAAGTACGGCTAGACTGCCAGTCTAGCCGTACTTATCTTAGGCCCTATTAACATTAGAAAACAGGAGGTTTAAAATACATGCACTGTCATTAAGGCACCTGGTTTCGTCTCAAATGCAAATACTTTAGGTACTGCACACTAAAAATGTATATTTACAATTCAGTAGGCCTATTTTTTTGTAAATGGTCAGTCTAGCCATCATATATTAAGAATAAGTACGGCTAGACTGCCAGTCTAGCCGTCATTAAGTACGGCTAGCCTCTTCCAATTTTTATGTAAATGACTTGAGGCTAGGACATAGCATAGTGTTGTTCAGGTAAAAAAGTATCTTAAGAGGGACTTTGCAGTAGCCCTTCAAATGATATGACGAATTATGAGGGTTCACTCCTGTGTAAGTAAGAGAACATCATCACAAGACGCAGTGACTTAAGGAAAACAAATAATAGGCTATAGTATAATAGAGAGGAAGTCCCTTGTCCTGCGTTTGTGCTGAGATACGAATCTTATCAGCAACCGATTACGTCGGACGTTCTGGGCAGGCCGCCAGGGTCACTCAGTGTGTACTGTTGGTGTACAGCGCGCGCGCACCGGGAAATGTGTGTGTTTTTGCCATAAATACTGTGGGAGTGTGTTAATCGACTATGAAAATAATGCTCTATCTTTCTCATAGCTTTTTATTAAATAAGGTGTTACAAACACATCAATAACCCCCTCTCATAAGCTGATAAGACATTACGAGTAGTTAAGCCCATTCGAATTTCCTTTCTAGACGCTCTTGTTGTTATGAATGACTTGGTGTTCGAAAGGGGATAATATAGGTCAATTTCCGAGTGTTTTGTCCTCAAATTTTTCTTTGTGCCTGCACAATGGTATTCAAAATTACAGGCTTATTTTTTATCAGGTAGTATCATTTCATACAAAATCAAGCTCATTTGAAAGATTTTGTATGGAAAAATGAAAGTCTTGTTTCCTGACTATCCTTTTGAGCTCCTCATGTCTAAGTGGGTCAATTTCTTCTATAATTTCATTGGGTGAACATCTAGAGCTACCAACTTGGCATGTTTTGAATGAGATGTATGCCTTGGTTACGAACCAACGCAGGCGGTTCTAGAAGATGGCCACAAACGCACACAAATTCAAGCAGACTGACGCACACACACTTGAGCTACGTGAATGCGGATCCAACTCGGGACCCGAATTCAAGGGAAGATGGTGGTCGGCGCACGTGCGCTGAGCCAGGGGCTAGATTGACGCGGGACCAGAACGCAGGCGAGGTGCTGAATTAGGCTTATCGGGCGACATAAATCCGGCCCCGGCAGGACGAGGGTTAAACGTAAACTGGTGGTTGACATGAGACACAGGGACACGCGGATAGCTAGAGTCTAGGACGACAACTTATATATATATATATATATATATATATATATATAAATCTAAATCTAAGTGCCATTATCAGATATTTATTGTAACTGCCATCTTGTTTGACCTCACAAGGGGGATGCCCGCCGTGTCATCAGATCGTGACTAAAAATAGTGATGATTTTGCATAGCGCGTGGTTTGCACTGGCAGTTTCAAAGCTTACTCTCTTTGAGTCTTTCCTAGTGGTTCCCCCTTGTATGCTCGCTTTTGCACCTGGCAGTTTTAATTTACAAAGCTTGCAGTCTCGAATTAAATCTACTCCATTTGCAGCTCATCGTCCTATTGAGTCCAATCTCTTGTAAGTGCTTTATTTCTTGTGCTTACAAAACTTAAAAGGAAACAATCAGGGTCGAAATGGTCAATCGTTTGCACTGCGTTGTTGAACTTTGTTGGAGCTTGTTTTCGTATGTAGGCCTACTTTTAGTCTTCTTCTTCCTCTCAGTTTATGTAGTGTACAGCATCAGAATCAATCTGGGCAGTAGATGGTGCTGCACAATCACAGTCAAAACCGATCCGAACAGTTCTGCAAGTTGCAAAAAAATAATCCCAGTTGGCAGGCTGCCATCGTATGGTCGTGTTGCCACCATGACTGACAAAGTGGGAATCCCTCAATGACGTCAAACAGGATGGCTGTTTCTGTAAATATCGGCCAATGGTATTTAGTTGTCATTCTCTTGCTATCCGCTTGTCAGAGGTATGGAAGTGTCAAAGAACAGTTTAGATTTTGGCCAGTGTTAATGAAATGACAGTATCATGACTGTTTTATTATCATGTGTAAGCTACTGACTACATCTGAACACCAAGCTCACTTACAGAACACTATTAAAAAGTTCTAGTTCTGTAATTATCAGAGCAGTGATGTATGGTCGCTTTTAAGGACAAGTGGGCTATCCCGAAAAATAGTTTTGAGTAAATGGAAGGTAAGGTTTTTGCCCATTGTTCAGTTTAATTAAAAAACAATAAGAGTTTTCTCTATAACCAAACAAATATACACACCAATGAAACCAAACTTCTTCTATAGGTAGGGAAATGCCCACTTTTGGTGCTGGTCAAGATTTCTGGAAACCCCCGAAATCTAGGTTAGCCCGCTTGTCCTTAAAAATGACCATATTAGAACAAGTACTTCAAGCAGTAGGCCTAGATTACACTTACTTCTATGAAAGGAACTATGATTACACTCAGGAATCTTTTCATGTAGCTGTACTTAAACAACATTTTTGCTCCCCGTATGTAATGGAAAACCAAAATGACAAACAATGAAAAAGAACCACAAACATATTTTTATTAACCTCTCTGCTTATTTATGTGAAAAAGTAGGCCTAATACAATAATCATAATAAAACAGGCTTTCAAACTAACTTCTGTCGAGGCATCACCTCCCCCCCCCCCCCCCCCCCGCCCCCCAAGAAGTCATGTAATCCATGTGTGCAGGTTATTTCAACATCTACATTCCCCTACTTGGATTAATTGTACATAACAGCTTGCATTTAAAAAATTAATTCCATCTTTTTAGACAACAAGCATCCCTTGTTCTCTCAAATAAAAACATCAGTCAGAAGTAAAAGACCTAGCCTAGGCTTCTGATCTGTAACAAAGAAAGATATATAGAAGGTCATTTTTACCATCATCTATCAAAATGCTTCCATCTCAACCATCTTAGTATACTTACGACCTTAGAGCCTGCATCAAAATAACATTGAGTGTGTATCTAGCTTACGATTATTATTGTTTATATTGCTGCTCATTTATATTATACATGTGATTGTAAGCGTACGTGTGTGTGTGCGTGTGTGTGTGTGTGTATGTGTGTGCGCGTGTGAGTGTGAGCATGTGTGTGTACACGTGGTGAAACACCAATCCAATGTTCCAGGATCTGGACAATAAAGATGTATCTTATAAAATGAAACACCAAAATGCAATGGAGAATATTACTGATGGATATGTCATTGGTATACTTCTCAGCAAGGGTTAAAAAAAAACTCGCAACAAACTTGATAGGTGCTTTACTTTTGAATTCTCAACTGTAATTACCAGTCAAACTGTGTGTTTTGGATCACCGAAATGCAGTTAAAAAATAAAAGAAGAGATTTTTTTAATAAACTAAGTTTGAATTGTACTTAAATCAAATTTTAAATCCTTTCAAAAGATATTCTGATTTTAGTTTTAGTTTTGGCCTCCAAAAAATTCTTCTTATTTGATTATTTTTCAGTAAGCGGAGACCAATATTCCGTCGCATATATGCAAGCCCCATTGGCATTGCTACAAAAGTATTACAGAGAAAAAGTTTTAGGTCATTCAGTGATAAATCAGTTTTACTCAAACCATTAAATTAGTGAACTGCCAATTTTATGGACAGAATGGATTTAATGGCTTACCCATATAATATTATCAGAGACTTGATTTTGATCAGTGTTAATCAGGGCTGCACTCTTCTATTTGTAGATTGGTTTTTAATAACAATTATTGAAACATTATAACTTGTGCACATATATGACATTAAACAGATGGTTTCTCTTAATTTTTTCTCCTCTTTTTCAGATTATCTTGATGACTGAGATTGTCTGCTGAGCGGTTTTCAGGACTCCATTATCGTCTTTAAAATTAAATGACAAGTGTTACTGAAAAAATGGCCTGGAATGGGAAGCCTGCGAAAACGAATACTCAGGACTACATGAACCTGTTGTACTCTGACTCGGACAGCGATAGAGTTCCTGATCTAAAGCTACCTCCGGTCAAAGGAAAGAAGCAGAAGCGGTAAGTCAGTGGGAAATTTATTTTGTGAGGGAACATTCTTGTTGTCCTCTATGAATTGGCATGGTGTGTCACCCATGATTATGTATCAGTGCCTTTATTATTGTCCCTATTAGTAATCAAAAAGTGCATTTTTCTATGATACTGAAAGGTTAGTACATGATAATTTTGATTGATCAACAGTAAGAAACCACACAAAGAGGAAACTGAATGGTTAGTAATAGAGTGGTATTTAATTTTAACTCATTCGCTTGTCAAAATATTTTTGTCTCCCCAAAATCACTACTTTTTGATGAAATTACATAAAAAGTGCCACTCAAGACATGTATCGGTTTATTCCAAATGCAATTCTGAATAATTCCATATAAGATACGAGCGGGTTTTTTCTGTTTGTGATCGTTTTTCAAGATTATAGAAATATTTTGTTTTTTTCAATATCGGACGTTATGTTCAAAATGTACAAATATTATGGAATGTAGGTAAATAACTGCAAACTTTTCAATATTTTCCAGTTCTATATTCATGTTATTTTGATGTATCATTTGACTAGGTGCAAACATATTTTTTTAGTTTAACCAAAGATTATAAATTTTTTATTTTCAAATTTTATCCGCATCCAATCAAAACTGTGTTGCATAACCGTCTCTTACAGGAACCAAAGTTGAAAAATACATAAATAAACATTACAGATGTATTCTACAAACCATACTGAAAATATTGGTATATAATACGTTGATATTTATTTGAATTTGTGGCCCCAAAGACCTTTTAACTGCCCACTAGTCATCATCTCTTTCGCTCTCCCGAAAAAAAATTCGTCCACAAGCCGAAAATAATACATAGCGAATGAGTTAAGATGATCCGTACTGTTCATGGATCAAGTAGATTTTTCATGTATCTTCTCACAAAACGGTTTTCGAAGAATTACATGAAAAATTCATTTGTTAACTCTCTGTGTGCTACGCCAGTAGAATATGGCTTATTGTTAAGCAAAATTGACTATGCGAGCATGTGTTGAGAACTAAATAAAGTTGAAGGAATTTGTGTGAGATAATAATATTTTAAAGATTTCATGTATAAGGGGGGTTGGGTTTGTTTTTTTGGGGTGAGTGGTTGTAAGGGGGGGGGGGGGCTGTTAACGTCACCCCCCACCAAAAATAGAATTTCTCATTTTACCTTGAAAAAGACCTGTCTGACATCCTGTCACACCATTGGTTTGATTGCAACTTTGCGGTTGATAGTGGGCCTAGGCAGGATCATGAATAGTTTTGGGATATGACTGCTTTTAGATGGGTGGTTATTGGTGTTTGTCGTTATGGTCTCCAATCAAAACAGGACTTACACTACACTAGACTGCTTGGATCTTGGTAGACTGGAGGATTGGGTTAGACTTCATCATCTTTGTAGGGTCCCCACCAGGTCAGGAAATCGGGAAGAAGTCGGAAATTTTTAGATGGGTGAGGAGGTCGGGAAAAAGTGGGGAATTTTGTGATGGGTCGGTAAGTCGGGAAAGGATAGGGCCTGTGTAATGTGTAGCTATCTAGACTGTATGGTTGATGAATCCTGAAGAGGAAACGTAATTGAACCGCTGTGGTGGAAGTGTATGTGTGACACCGAGGCTCGATCGGGAAGAATCAAGATCTATTTTCGCTTTCGTTACCGCCCAGAAATTTTCCGGCAATAGTCTGATAGATAACGCAACATTTGTAACATGCAGGTTATGCATTATGAACGCTGTGTCGGCTTGAAAATAAATCAATTGTAAAAATTGCCTTCTTCTGTCGCTTGTGAAAAAAAAAATGAAAAAAAAAAAGAACTTATACAAGCGTCTTGTTAGGTTCGCCCTCGTGACCGGTCAATGAACCTGTGAGTACCGGCGGTCTGAGCGCTGTGAAGTATAGGACTCCTTTATAAGATGCACTCGTGGAAGGGGATTGGCCATTGGGAGAGGGTGGGGAGCTGAAGGCAACGCTAGAGGACAAAAACTGAACTTGGAAGCAAATTTTTAGCATTTTGATAACTACTTTTGAGCTCTCTCTCTGCAAAGCGCACATTGGTACAGGCCTTGTGTGGAATCAGGATCCGTCATGCCTTGTTATTGAACTTAAGTGTTCGCGTTTCATTGGATGGGGTGATTGTAATTTAT